TTGTAAAAATCGACGCGTTTCAGAAAGGCGGGGCATAGAGGAGAAACAATAATGTACAGTATGTGGAAAATAATGTGTTTTATGAACCTTAAACCGCATAAACACATTTCATTACACCAAATACACCAAATAATGTTATTTTTAGCAGCATCATATGACCCCTTTAACTGACTGAAATAATCAATATAATAGTAATATCTTCAATATTATATTACAATACTCTTTAATGTGGACTGGGTTTCACCAAAAAACTGAAATAGAAATGTGAATAGAAAGTGATTGCAGCTGAAATAATCCAAAATGAGATTTCAAGACTTGTTTCTATTCACTTTTTTTGCTCTGCGTAAGCGGTTTGGTACTCTCACAGAAGACTAAACACCTCTAATTGCACATACTTTGGGAAATATGACATTTTTCTGTAAATGTTGATATTTGTTTAGCGTTCTCTTCTGTTGTAATGTCTGGGATCAATTATCTCAGCAGGGTTTTTACTGAAGGTGAAACCTCAGTGGTTGACTAAGCTAGTATTAATAGGTATTTATGTGTTTTACTTCTAAACAAAAACAACCATTTTGGAGAGGCAATATGAAAGAACTCTGTCTTCTTGGATTATTATTTTTATTTGATGTAATATTCTCCTACACTTAAAAAGGTTTTTTTTTTTTTTTTTCAGAGTTGGCTAGACAGACTCCTCAGCACTCATTCTGTCAGCTGGAAGATTTGTTTTTGCTGCCGCCCACATGGCAGACGCTGAGAAGTCTCTGCAGCATGAACGCTGCTGCGGCTTGATAAAAAAAATAACCGTCAGGATTGCGATCCCAAGAGGTTCTTTTGGGCCATTTTTGTGAGGAAGGGGGTGAAAACTGAGTGAAATAAAAGCTTTATTGTGTTGGCAAGCCATATTTTTCAGTCTTTGATAAACTTCAGCCTGGCTTATTGGTTGTAAATATGTGACTTTAAAATAACATCCAGGCTTGGGAAAGATGAGCAATTGCATGCAATCTACACAAGCATGGGCAACGCTCTTTAGCAATGTGCAAATATTAGAACGGCTATTGCTTCTGGGAAATCTGCAAATGCACACATGCATTGCATTATAATTGTCACACTTGTGCTTTCTTGACTAGGAATCACGTTTGAGTTTTTACTGCAGTGCTGTTAATCTTAATGATGGGTGTTTGTTAATTCTATAGTTGATTCTAATTAGTTGTATTTAAAATGAGCTTATACCGTTGAAGCATTGAAGAAAGAGACTTAGGGTGCTTTCACACTAGCACTTTTGGTGCGAACCGTACCCGAGTCCGCTTAAAAAGGGTGGTCTGGGGTACGGTTCAAGTGAACTTCGGTACGGTTCGCTGCTGATGTGAACACAATCGTACTAAATCGCAGAAGTGAACTGCTATTAATGACGTGTTATTTGATAAAAATGTGTGTTTGTGTGTGTGTTTCACTCACTTTCCTGATGAGCGTGACTGACGCGCTGCAAGCAGTGAGCTGTATATCTCATTTCTGTTCGCCTTCAGCATTCTTTAGAGCATTTGCAGTACATTTGTAAGACAGACGTAAGTGCCGTTATGTACTGAAGATTTGGAAACAAAACGAATGGTTCAAAAACATAAATATATAAAAAAAGAAGTGAGCAACTATGCATTTTGCTGCCATCTCCTG